TACCTGCTATTCTATAAATAACCAGCCATGTCAAGAAACATGTCTGCGCTATACCAATTTCAAGGACATAACTTTATAGAATGAGTTTTATTCGAATTTATATTGAGAACAGTTTCAGTTCCGCTTTACATAAATAAAATCTAATGAAGATCTTGACGCGATTCACTATGGTAAATATAAATTTAAAAAATATATTTTTATTGATATCTACCAAAATTCTACTACAAAAATAGGCAAGGTGATGTGCGTAATCAGACGAAACAAACATGTAGTACATCAATTTACGAGATTTTTCAAGTGGATATACGTATATTTCAATGACACGTATACAATTAGTTCATCATATTGAGATTTTTTTCCATACGTCGTTATAAATGACATATACAACTTTATAGGGATTGAAATTGTTGTATTTTAGTTAAAATTAATAAAATAAAATCCATCAATTGGTTTTTATTTCATTCATTTTCACCCACAACTTTTTTCCCCCAAATCCAATAAAAATATTTTTCTAAATTGGTTTTTTTATTAATTCCAAACATTAATTATTCGTTGGCTATGCTGTCAAAGTAATTAAGCTTTTATTAAAAGTTAAATGTATAACTCATTCCCAAGGCAACTTTAATATATATATGACATATATATCTTTGATAGTCATTTTACATCGTTTGATAGAGTATTCTTTATGATGTTTAAAGGTCCAATAATAACGACAATGTTTGCGTGATTTTTTATCCTGTTTTTCTACTAAAAATCTCTATCAATAGATTGTACTCGTGTATCCATTAAACAACAATGGCATAACATTGAAGAGGTTAACAAACTCACGGTTTCGGCTAAATTTGTCAGCGCCACAACTAGTTATGATGTCACGTTTGATTATGCGAGGTCGTCGCAAACATAGTAAACATTGTTTATAATATTAATAGTATATTATTGCAATTTTTTTCGATTGGTGCGTTGAGTAGACCAAATTTGTATTTACTAATGTGTTTTAAGCGTCAAGTATATCAATAATGTTTCTAATATGTTTTTTTTAATAATTTATGCTACTATGAAATAATGTTGAATTTCACGTACACGTTCTAAAAACAAAATAACCAATTTTTGGAATATCAACTATATTACACACCCTTTTTCCTTTTGTCGAATAATTTACTTTCAGTTACTTCAATAACTTATTTAGGAAAAGACCCAAACCATCCTTTAACGAACTACTCAATTGAAAATAAAATAAATCTCCTGAAAGGCCATTCCATCTGTATAAACATCAGGCATTTTAATTGTAACCGCAGACCTATAACTTTCTTGAGAGAAACAGCTTTGTTGGTCGATCTGCTTGTTTCAGCAAAATACTCGATTTAAATTCTCAATAAGGGGATCTGTGCATCCAAAAAGTATATTATCGTCGCTGTAGAATGATAACCTCGTATGTCCAGCGAACCATACTTTACGGGAAATGAAAAAAATGTTTCATTTCGTCAACGTTCGTTACAATATTATTATGTGCTTTTGTCCATAGTTTTGGATGGTAAAAAGGACTTATTTATGTTATTAACCAATTCCTTACTTCATTAGATTATACCAGTTAAATGACATCATTCTACATGTAACATTTAAAAGTAGAATAATGACAGGCGCACTATAATAAATCGTTTATTTGCAAAGAGAGTGTGAGAGAGAATTACATTCAAAATGACTAATTTAAAAAAAACTCTCAATCAGGCATATAAATCCATGCAAATGTCATATTAATAATCATGTCATAATAATAAGAACAGTTAAGATATTTATAATTGTTGTCTAAAAAGTCTGATCTAAAAGTCTCATGCATTTTAAAGCCTTTAAAAATCTAATCATCTTCTCCTTGAAAGCGGGTAGTATTTTTTTAAATACCTCGTGGCCCACCCACAGGTAAGTTTCACTTAATGTTTTGAATATTTTGGATACTTTTTTACAGTCAACTGCTTTTATATATAAACTTGGTACTGTCAAAATACCCATATAATAAATATTAGAGAACACTTCTTACTAAGTGAAACGTGATTTTAATCAATAAAATTTCTGAAATGGATAACATTTCTCTGTTTAAACTTTAAAGCGTGATAAGTTACTCTTTATTCTTATATTAAGATTCAAAGTCTACACTTACCGTTAAGTATTACACCGATATGTCAGATGAAATACGTTTTTGACACACGGAAGTTATACTTAGTTTTAGAAGGTTAAGGTAATAAGGATTAATACTTTAGATTTGGCATTTAAACGGTTTGAGATTTGAGATAATAGTTTAAATACTTTAATTGCTCGGTAATTGTTGTATTATTAACTTAAATGCATTATTCATTATGTTAGCTATATATAGCTATATATTTAGTATTTGAAGATACTGGAAAATATAAAAAATACATTACTATTGAAATGTTTAACACGATATATTTGCGTCCGGTACATATAATATTGTATTATTTTTTAAAGATATTTTTACATCACAATCTAAACAGTAATAATTATTTTACATGTACATGTAATTACAATTGGCTCGTGTTGTAGTACTGTTTTGATAATAATTCCCTATTAGTATATTGTTGGTTGACCTGAATGTTTTTTTATTTGATACTATGCTGTAAAAATATTAATGGATGATAACAAATTTTAAATCGTGGGTAAAACCCCAATCTCAACATCTGTTTTCCCGTCACGTGAGCACTCGAAATAAATCACCATTCTACATGACGTACTACTTCATCAAACATCTACATCGGAAATCTGTATTTTTCTCCTTGGCTATTATTTTTAATTTATACTATTGGCGGTTTTCTTTATTTAATATTTGAAAAAAAAAAAACAATAGTTTAAAACACTGTCTGTATTTTGAACTAATGTTGCAAATAAAGCTGGCTCCTCTATTTTGAAATGTTTTAATAATGTATAGGGTAGATAAGTGTGGGCCTTCTCCCTACCCCAAGAGATCACTAATCACCAAGAAGTTCCGATAGTCTATACTTTGTACCCAATGACTCTTGAATTGTCTTTCAAGTTTTATGACGATGAGTGACATAATGTACATAGCAAAAAATTTAAGTCGAACTATACCCAGCCAATTCGAAAAAAGCAATGTCATGACGTTTCTCGGGAAACAGTGTGTGGGCCAGCACATAATTTTTCCTGCTAGGAATGTATGTAATGTATACGTAGGAATTCAGTAAAATTATGTAACCCTATGCTGTATTACGTCAAGGGTAAATTAGTAAAACACGTGGTCAATTCGTTATAAATAAGGTAAATAATTATAGTAGTTTGATGTTATAAATCATATCATGTAACTTGTTTGGAAAAAGTAAAACAAAAAGAAATTATGTGATTTATACTTAATAATTATTTTACATCAGATTAATACTTTCGTGGTAATTAGGGTATTTTATTTTTTTTAATTTCTTTGTTTTACAAAATAATATAATATAATCACAATATGTTACATTAAAAAACCGCTGTGGTTTATAACGGGTTTTGTACAAATTCTATTTTTGCATTAGAATAAGTAAGAAACAATTTATTGTAAATCAACTAATCTGGTGTCTTTAGCAAAAAATAAGTTAAGGTTTGATAAAATATGCGTAACGCACTGAGCCATGAAGGCGGCACACTACATAAATCTCTCTTAATGACCTCCCTAAGGGAAGGATGAAATATGATGTACAAGAATTCTAACTTTCTCCAACAAAATAAGACAACTTATTATAAAACCATTGGGCTTAACATACTTTTTTGTCCTTGCTCTTAAAAAGGAATTATGATATATAGGGTTTAATTGATTCTTATTCCTGACTAGTAGTTACCTTAACAGGGAAGCGTTCCTGAACCATCTAAGCGTTAACCTTCCTTCAGCGGCGAATTTGTTTTCTGGTAAAACCTTTTTTTGTGGGGAAACGCATACCCTCCCGCTTCAGGACTGCTTCGTGGTAGAGGGTTATTTGGGACTCGCTGTTGTGCATACCCGCTAAAACCCCAAGGCGTCACCAGCAATCGTCCAAGACAGGCTTCTGTTAAAGCCTGTATGACCCTTCTTAAATCAATGTATATTAATGAAAATAAACGATGTACAGCCACTTTACTTTGGTCTACCTTGATGTAAATACGGTATACGGTAATAAATTTAACGATGTCAATCGGAAAACCGTTGAAAACTCGGAAGTTACTCATTGACATACTAAATATAACTCGTTTGGCGTATAAATGTATACGTTCGAGTATTTCTAGCCAGTCTTTCACAAAAGGTCGCGAGATAAAGACGCGCAACACGATAATCGAGTTTTAATAACTAGTCTACGAGTGAATTTATCCTATTGTGCAGTGCTCTTGGAACTTATATTCAAGGTAATAGCTTCTATATTACACTGATTAATTAAAAAATGTAATTATTAGACTGTAGAAGTTTTGGCGACATAAGTCACGCGAACTTGAATAAAGCAGACACTTTTTTATCGTGTAAAGAATTTGTTTAAATATGTTTGTGATGTGAGAATATGAATGCATATTCCGAACAAGTTGGGACAATTGGTTAAAAATATTAGCAAAAGGTTCAATGCCCTGAGGTTAAAGATCGCACCGCGTCGATTGATAGATGTGTCGTCTTTTATAAATACGAACTAATAACATTAAACATTAATACTGAGACAGAATTATTAAATTTAGCCATATTGCTTGAAAAAATTATATCTAAAGATAATACCGATCAGATTTGCTCAGGTGCAGTCTATAAAGTTAGGTGGATGTACATAGACTCCTATTTAGGCAAATAGTGTTTGAGATAACAATGTCACAAGTGATAACCGCAAGGTCTACGAGGATTATTAACTGCCGAATTTAATCTAATTTAAGATTTATGATCATATAATAAATCTATACAACTTAAATAATATATAAGTAAATTATTTTGTCCAATGGCCTTCATTATAGTGCAAAGTCTACCAAATTTAAATGTTATTATTTTATTTCAGATGAAGCTAATAGCTGGGATAGTATTCGTTTGTTTTTTCCTTCTAACCGACGCAGCGAGAGTACCAGACTATTCCGAAAGCAGTAATAGTGATGTTGTGCTTGACGATGTAAAAAACGTTTATAGCAATTCAGAGCAAAGTGTCAGACGACGAAAACGACATTATTCACCATACTCGAGAAACTTTTGGGAACGTGAAATGGACCGAAGCTACTACGAATCCTACCAAGATGATAGAATTGCAGAATTAGAGATAAGACTAAAAATACAACAAGAGCAAATTAATGAACTTCTGTTTAGAAGATATGAACCCAAAGTTATCGTCGTGCCCATTTACTTACCCTCAAGTGGAAACAAAAACACTAGCGATTCCTTGGGAAATAAATTTGGCCAAGAGGATAACATTGAAAATGAAAGAATTTGGGGTAGCAGTGATGACCAAAATGGGATGCGTCCAATTTCTCTGACACCTATTAGACCTAGCCGGCCGATGCCCAAGCAGCCACCAGTACAACACGGGACTATTCAAGCAGAGGTAAACTATACCACTATGGAATAAGTTTAGTTTTGGGTCTAAAAAAAGTCGATGATGATCGAAACGACGAAATAGGATCTATCTGAATGCCAAGTCTCTTTGTGTACTAATCATATTGATAATTTATAGATAATAGTCATAATTTAAAAATCGTAATATATCATATTTATTTTTAAATGAACACTACTGTAATCTGTGCCTTTAAAAACTGCCGTATAATAATAAGAAATTTTCTTTTTTCAGACTAGTACCAAAGCACCTACTTTCAGCATGGATATATGCAAAACTGCTATACTTATATGTTGTGACAGCAATGGAGTCGACAGAAGAAATTGTTTCAAGAAATTCAATTGTACCAAAACATCCACTTCACCATACGCCTGTGATAAAATTATTTTGGATGCAATCAAAAACGATTTTATAGCTGCTTATGCACCTGATGTAGAGTAAAATAAATAAATAATATAATACAGATACCGAAATCAGTATTCTTATAAAGAGTAAAAGATGACGTAATCCTAAAAAACATTGTTGACATTTTTAAGAGCCTATGTAAGAGCAATTGTTATGGCGTTTTTTGCATTTATAAAATCCACGCCCACAATTTTTACATACGCAATTCGGATCGGTATCAATTTTTACATGATATTACTGTGTAATGTCATAAACTAAATTAAGTAAAAATGTACTTGTTATTCATTATATTAATAAAAATAATTATAAGTTATAGTAGATTCGTGTTAGAGTGAATGTAAATGAAGGTGCGTTTGTAGTATGGTGTTTATTTAATTCCTAACAAGTAACTTATTTTAAAAATTATGTATTGCTTTGGCAACAATGTGTTATTTGAACTATATCACCTTACTATAAAACGTGAATAGCAACAGCTTGCTTGTTGGATACCAATTTTTATGGAAAAAATAATGTAACAAATGCTGTGTTGAGTTTTATAATAAAGTGGTATAGGATTAAATATATATGTTAGTCTATATTTAATTATGTGAACAAAAGCGCAGCTAATGTCCTTTACTGGACTCCATTCTAACTACTAATAAGTCCATATTCTTCCTTAAAGTTCCTAGTCAAAAAATAAAATCTTTTCAAACTAAAATGTTTTTCATTAATATTGACGACAGTATAATATTTTGTAATAAAGGCAATGAATTTTAAAAAATCTTGAAAAAATTAAGATGTATTCATATCCCAAATATGCGGAGATATGACTGATGATGAAACGAACAACTTCTCTGAATACTGTCCTTTTTAAATGTGGTAGAAAATGCAGAGAGTCCCCACATCTCCACTCAACGCCAAAGGATCAAGCCGCTCGGAAAGAGATTGGTCGTCGAAGATTTGAACCGCTCTACCTGGATACGGTCAAGTAGAAAGATCTGGTACTGGGGAGCTCTCGACCAGGGGTGAGAACTGTACTCCACGGCGTCAAATTTGCGATTTATACAGTTGCAAGCGATAGATAGATACATTGCAAGTGATACCGTTATGCCTTGCTGTACTGTACCAAGCACCACAAACTTTTTGAAGGGACTAATTTAGCTTTTCTCTCCAAATTACTTTAAATAAATTCAATGAAAATTTCTGCTTTGCCCCAGTTCGCGTAACACTCGTACTATTCGCAAATCGCTTTCTATTTATATAAGTGAATGTTCAAAATTAAAAATAATTTCGTTAACGTTTTACGAGATCTGAATAAATTTTTACTTGCTTACGCATCTATTCTAGGGCGACTAATCTTGAAAACAAGCTTTCAAAAGAACTTAGAGGCGGCTTGTGAAACTCATGTTGTATATTGAATATTATTTAAAAGGCTATTTTAGTGATCGGGTTTAATTTATTTTATATGAAATGGAGATGTAACGTAGACTCGAACGTCATAGCGAAAACAACAGGTTCTTATAAATATCAGGTTTTTAGGAGATTTTAAATATGATATAATTTTATAGACAAAATGGCTTATGAGTATTAAAAACGTATTAAAAACAACCCACGGTTGTGACCTCATCTGTATCAGTTTTATCTTTTAGGCAACTTGCTGATCAGTTCATTTTCCCGGATACGTAGTTTTTGGTGTTCTACAACTTGCGGTTTTCATACGCTGTTTCCTTTACCGTACAAGCAAATACAGAATGTGATAACAAACAATAATTAATATAATTTTTAGTTACGATATTGCTTACTGCATTTTGGTATGTCAAGGGTCATATGTATAGAAGTCATACTTTCACGCTATCGACATCCCAGCAAAGGCATCGCTTAAAAAATTGATGATTCTCTGTAATAACCCTGATTATTTTCAAATGTTAATTAATATTAACTAAGTCTGTTTCTTCTCCTGCAGGCTCCACCAAACGCCGCAGCTGTGTGCCTTTTATCCTTTTAACACAACTATAATATGAATAAAACACAATTATTCGTTCCTATAAAATTGTAATTCATTATGTATCTTGATATAAAAAAACATTTAAGGCACTTTCTTGATGGCAATCGGATTGCAACCTATGATGATGTTTTCTTGTAACAGGATAAATGACAATGAAATAAGAATTCAAAGATGTGTATGCAAATTATAAAAAATACATGCTATGATATATGGGATAATTATCGCTCATTCGTTAAAAATTCTAACATGCATTTAAAAATTTACATTTCATTAAGGCCTACAACGCACTAGCGGCTGGCCGCGATGCGGTGTGCCGCTGCGGCAGGCCGCGGTATAATATACGGTCTGCCGTAGCGGCATGCCGTATTCCGGCTAACCGTCCCTATTGCGGTCTGCCGCAATCGTCACTCGTCAAGTGCTTCTTGAAATATTGCACATGATGGACGTTGAAGAAGTTGCGGTAGTTATTTATTTATATCATCGTAGAAAATATCGTCAAAAAACTCTGCGTAGTGTGTAGCGCAAGGAACAAGCGATGACTGAGGCGGGTTACGGGTAGGACGTGGTATTTGCGGCTAACCGCGCCGAGTGCGTGGAGGGGATGCGGCGCGCCGCATCATTCAACCGGTGCGGCTCGCCGCAGCTCCAGATCAACCGGAGCGGTTGACGGTTGTCCGCAAGTCAGTGCGTTGTTATCGTGCGGTTTCATGTAATAATCGATGTGCGGCCTGCCGCAGCGGCACACGGCATTGCGGCCAGCCGCTAGTGCGTTGTAGGTCTAAGAGGTTGGAATATCAGTATCATTTTCCGTACGGACGCAAGTGTATGAGCAACTCCTTTCCTAAGATTCTGTATAACAGCATAAGGAAGAGATTTAACTTAATTAATTTATCCTATCCTATTTGAATAAGGAAGCAGTAGGTTTAAATCTTTGTATGGGAAACACAATTTACGTCTCACGCTAAACCTAAACAATCGAAAGAAATGAAGATAGATTTTTAATTTATTTCAATAGCTTTCTTTCAAAAGGATTTATTGGATTACAAAACAAACCCCTTAATATTTCATAAATTGAAGTTGAATTAATATATTATGTTGCATGTCATTAAATGTGTTTTGATAAACGCAATATGATTTAAACCGGAAACCGATATCGAGTAGAGTCTTTTACTCATATACCATATTTTAACAACTATGTATAAATTGAATAGAATGCGTTTAACACTTTATTTTACTTACTGGGTCTTAAATTATCGCGCTCTTACAGAATAATACAGAATATAATATCAAAACTGAATTAATGACTTTAAAAATTAACTCGGTTTATTCGAAACTTTATTTAGTCTAGTTAAAATCAGATTTCATTATTATCCTTTCATTTTTATCCATGTTTGTAGATAAACTTATTCTCATCACGGATTGAGGCAAATTTTCTAGTAGGTGCAGGCTGTTTTTTAAGATTTGAATCGGTTCGATTCTCGGCCTGGCAAACAAAATTTTCAATGTCATATGCTGCTTAAACCTATCATTAAAAGTTATTATAATTATTATAATTATTTATCCGTTTAATTGAACTCTGTAGACTTAGGTACTGTTTCTGTAAAAGTATGTGCTGTGATGAAATTTGTAGTACAAGTACATAGGTAATGTAATTAAACAAATATTCAACAGAGATTAACTACAGCGTATGTGAAAATTACTTATTATATCCAGTCGCAAACTATTACTATGGATGACCACAGTTACTCCTTAATAAAACCTGAAGTCACGACGCCAAAAGAAACGCCTTTCTCCCTATACGAGTACGTAGTGTTTGCAATGTATGTGAAATCGCCACTTCGGAGAAATGGAGACAAAAATCGAAAGCTTTCAAGAAATGACTGTCACCATTGTACTTAAAACTAGCATACGTTATGGGTATTTCCGGCTACTTTTGGCAACACCAAGTTGAAATGGATGAATAATTGTGAGAAGTACAAGAAGGTAATGCGGGATTGATATAGGTAGAAACCTTCAAAGATTTTTTAAGGTTTTTTAAATTTATTTATTTATTTACACTTCGTTGCAAATAAAAGAAACACAATACATCAAAATTATAAGGGATGCAACGGGCGGCCTTATCGCTAATAAGCGATCTCTTCCAGGCAACCCTAGTTAAGAGAAAAACAAAAAAAAAAAGAAACATGATGCGTGCGAGAAGTGCAGAACCAAATGTTAAATATATATATATAGATGTATATATATATAGAGCCTTAATCTAAAGTAATACAAAAAAAAATTAATAACAGACTAAAAACTTAAAAATTTACAAGTGCTTCAAGACAGAAAGATAGACACAGAAAATTTATATACTTGCGTTCAGCCGCAGATGTAACTAAGAAATACCTAAGTAGGGACGGAACTAAAATAATATAAAATCTTATTGATACAATTTTTAAGCAATCCAAACACTGTCGGGGTTCGAAATGTAACTAAGAATTCTCTTATTATCTCGCTATTACTTTATATAACTCACGATTCTCCGATTGTAAATTGTAAAAATATCCCAAGAAGGTTTAAGGAAAAACTTTGTAGCTAATCAAGAATTTTATACTTTACCCCATATCTATGTTTGCACACTGATATAAACTCTTAACATTTAGTTAGGTCCAAGTAAATTGCGTTATCTAGTTCATGAAAACAGCTGCGTAAGCAATTGCAATTGTGCAAAAATAACCAATATTTCATATAGTTTTATATCCTGAAGATAGATTGTCCTTGACTAGTTTCTTGATTCAATTAATGAATCAAAATTAATTAAAAATATATATTAAAAAAAAACAGTGGCGCTACAACCTCATTTTGGTCTTGCCTCAGATTTCTGAATCTGTTTAATGATCATTTTTAAATCTAATAGGCAAGTAGGTGATCAGCCTCCAGTGCCTGACACACGCCGTCGACTTTTTGGGTCTAAGACATGTCGGTTTCCTCACGATGTTTTCCTTCACCGTTCGAGCAAATGTTAAATGCGCACATAGAAAGAAAGTCCATTAGTGCACAGCCGGGGATCGAA